CTTTGGAGTATTGAGGAACAGTTTATACTCTTGTACTCTTTGGAGTATTGAGGAACAGTTTATACTCTTGTACTCTTTGGAGTATTGAGGAACAGTTTATACTCTTGTACTCTTTGGAGTATTGAGGAACAGTTTATACTCTTGTACTCTTTGGAGTATTGAGGAACAGTTTATACTCTTGTACTCTTTGGAGTATTGAGGAACAGTTTATACTCTTGTACTCTTTGGAGTATTGAGGAACAGTTTATACTCTTGTACTCTTTGGAGTATTGAGGAACAGTTTATACTCTTGTACTCTTTGGAGTATTGAGGAACAGTTTATACTCTTGTACTCTTTGGAGTATTGAGGAACAGTTTATACTCTTGTACTCTTTGGAGTATTGAGGAACAGTTTATACTCTTGTACTCTTTGGAGTATTGAGGAACAGTTTATACTCTTGTACTCTTTGGAGTATTGAGGAACAGTTTATACTCTTGTACTCTTTGGAGTATTGAGGAACAGTTTATACTCTTGTACTCTTTGGAGTATTGAGGAACAGTTTATACTCTTGTACTCTTTGGAGTATTGAGGAACAGTTTATACTCTTGTACTCTTTGGAGTATTGAGGAACAGTTTATACTCTTGTACTCTTTGGAGTATTGAGGAACAGTTTATACTCTTGTACTCTTTGGAGTATTGAGGAACAGTTTATACTCTTGTACTCTTTGGAGTATTGAGGAACAGTTTATACTCTTGTACTCTTTGGAGTATTGAGGAACAGTTTATACTCTTGTACTCTTGTTCAGAGGATTCCTAGACTTGAGGAAATCCACGCTGCGGTGGGGCTTTACCGAAGGTTCGGGACCTGAAATGGACGAAGGTTGGAGAGCAATATTACCTGCTTTTACCTTAGGCGTTGATTCGGCCTTTGGCATCCAAACTCGTTCGGACCTCGGCGATCTCTTAACGGCCTCTCCCTTTAGCATTTCTCGTGCTTTTTGGACCAGGGCTCGGGCATGCGCACGCAAGGCGCGGCGCTTCTGGATTCGCTCCTCGAGAGTAGAACGGGTCCTTTTGACATGAACCCATTTGTTTGTTTCTGCTTCGGAGGAGGGGCTGGTTGTTTGCCGTGGTTGCTCCTGGCGTTGCCTGGATTTTAGATCTACGTTATAGCGGATCCCATCCATTGGCTCCAAAGCCTCGGCCAGCTGTCGAGCAAGACGTTGACGCTGTCTTTGTCGTGCTCTCTTTGATAATGCCGGAGCGTCTTCAGAAGCCATCTCCTCGGCGGAAGAGGAGTCCGGATCTGCGATCTCGACCACGTTGGACGACACGGGGACGTCACGTGGTGCAAGTGCAGAGGCGGCAACGGGGTCTTGGATTTTTGAACCGAAGGACCTGCAATCATTTATGAAAGAGGTTACCTTTCTGTACCCGTTTGGAGAGGCGGATCTGGAGGAGGAGGAAGAGAGGCCTTCTTTGAACCGTTGTTGATCGAGCTCGTGTTCTTCATTCACCCCGATCTTGAGTGCTGGTTGCGTCACGACGGCGTCGGTTGCGATGCCGTTGGCTCCCACTGTGGTCGCCAGTCTGTTTGCGGAAAAAATTGCTGTATTCATTGCTGCATCCATTACAACTTTGATCGTTACAATGAAATAAAAAGATAGCCTTTTTATAAGACCGGTACACAATGAAAACAAAATTCATTGCTGCATTCATTACAACTTTGATCGTTACAATGAAATAAAAAGATAGCCTTTTTATAAGACCGGTACACAATGAAAACAAAAGAAATACAACTCTTTTCAAACAAACGCAAGATCTGTTTGTCATCTCTTGCTTGCGTGGGCCTTTTGCCTGTGACGGGGATGTTGATATCCGTGGACCACCGGGGCACTCAGATCTGGTCCGATAAAATCGGGCAGAGTTTCGTCTATCCGCGGGGGGATTTTAGAAACTCTGAACCCCGTCGATCCGCGTGGGATCTCAGAGGTGTAAAGCTTATGTCTCGGCTAAAACGAGGCACTAGCTCTCCTTTGTATCACCGCTAAGGGCAACACTAAGGGAAAAGAAGGTGGGGAATGAAGAAGAAGACTCCTTTGCTGCAGAAGGCTCGCTCACTCCTCGATCCGGCAGGGCTTCGCCGCTCTCTTAGAAAACCCCGACTCCTTCCTCCGGCAGGGCTTCGCCGCTCCTCTCTGGAATTTCAGATCTCAAAGGCTAAAGCTCTAGATCTGAAATTTCTCTCCCAAAACCAAGGCCAAGAGAATGGAGGCCCTAGGGGCCTATTTATAGGAAAAGCAAGGGGTAGGGGGCTGGTTGAGGACACCCCTAGGGGGGTGTCTCGGCTCCAAAACCGAGACACCCCTTGGGGTGTCTCGATGGTGACGTTCATCGTCGCTCGTTAACACTGAACCGGTTGTGGAGAACTATAGGCAATTTTCGATGCATACAAAGGTGAAGATTAATACCGGATCTCTAGAAATTAAGCAGGGAGCTCGAACCATGAAAGTAGGCTAGAATCCTTGGGGATTTGATTTGGATTAGCATAAAGCTTAATGGGTTTAACTTAATCTTAATTCTACGAAAGTAGGTTAATTGAGATTAATTAAGCACGATCTTTACACCTTGAAAGAGGCTTTAGATTAATTTAGGCTAATTCATCCTTTTTAGTTTAAACCAACACCGAGAATTGAAATAATTCATCATTGAGCATCGAAGTTGTGGTGATAACCCAATCCTGGCTCTTCATTATATTGAATTTCCACCTGATTAGTTATTATTTTATTTCTTTTAATTCTCATCTCTTCTAATTACTCATTAGTTTAGCTAGTCGAATAACGTGAGATTTGGTAATTAACCCTAGTCCCTGTGGGATCGACCTTGATAGCTACAACGAGTCTGTGCGCTTGCAGATTTTGCCTACCTTGTGTGTGTGTGTGTGTGTGTGTACACATTAAATATTTTATCTAAGGGAGTTTTACCCCAAGACTATCTCTCTCTCTTTTAACATGGTATCAGAGTGAGGTTAATCTTTTTTTGCCAAATCTTGGCCTCGCCACATTACAGCCTCTTTATTGTCACCTCCGCGCTTGTAGCATCGCGGCCTCCATGGCAGCAGTCTCTCGGCTCATACGAACAACATCGGCGTTCCATATTCAGTAATAGCATCGTCGTTTCAAGACCATCTCTCGGTCTCAAATTAACGACATCGCCGTTTCAAGACCGTCTCTCGGTCTCAAATTAACGACATCACCATTTCAAGCCATCTCTCGGCCTCAAACGAACGACATCGTCATTTTAGAGTCAGTAACGACATCGCCGTTTCAATCCATCTCGACATCTTAACATCAGCGTTGATCTGTTGTGGGTCTCAACGTCTCAACATCAGCGTTGATCCATTGTGGGTCTCAACATCTCAACATTGCTATTAATATGGCGCCTTCAGAAAAGATCACTAAACCACCCCAGGCTCTCAACGCTCAAAGTAATTGGGCGGGGTGGTCCACCATTGTCGCAAATTCCTTGTGTGGTGTTGGTCCGCTTGATCATCTCACTAGTTCGGGACCGGTTCCACCATCCATCAGCACTGTTGTTTCCGCTAATACTGTTACATCTAGCAGTGGTAATACTGATCTGTCACGTGTCGTGAAGAACCGTGCTCGCAAACCAAACGAGTCGACGAGCGATGAGAGAAGAACAAAACACGAGTGTAATTCATAAATAACAACCAAAATCACACAAACATAGATATTTACGTGGTTCGGCAAATTGCCTATGTCCACGGGGAGATGATGGGGTAGATTTTACTATATGGAGGAGAAACAATAAGTTACAATCTCTCATACAACTCTAAAAAAACCTAACCAATGATCTCACACTCCCTCGCAATAATCTCCCTCTCAAAGTGCTCAAAAGAATCAATTTTCATTGATTATCTCTTCTCCTAAATCCTAGAAAGACGTGTTTTTATTTATAACAAAACACAATCCAAATTAAAACAGGTTGGGAATCAGAAAATGTGTCTGCCACACCTGGGTGTGACGCACACTACACCCCTGATAATGAATTGTAGCAAATAGCTTCTGCAACACCTGGGTGTGGCACGCACTACATCCCTGACAATAAATTGTAGCAGACAGCTTCTGCCAAACCTGGGTGTGGCACGCACTACTGTTTGGGTCAGAAATTATTTTCTTCATTATATAACTCATTACAAGTTTGATCGTTACAACAAGTTCAAAAAAGATTGGTCTTTTTCTAAGACCTTTACATAATAAAAATAAAAAACTATAATCTCCTTCAAACAACATACAGAAACTATTTATTAGCCTCTATTTACGTGGAATATTTACCTGTGTCGGGGACGTCAATATCCATGGACCGCCTCGGATCAGATCTGGTTGACAGAAGGCTAAATGTTTGTTGCTTCACATAAGAAACAAGAGCAAAAGTGATAATCTCGACCAAGCGAGATTACGACTCTTCTCGAGATCAAGTCCAAGCCTGATCTCAAGGAATTGTGGAACGAGGCTTCAGATCTCTTGAAATCCACTCTTTATGCACAGAATATCCACTACTACAAAACAAGACAGCCCAAACGGTTGGAAACGTTTGGGAAAACAATGTCCCAAACGGTTACAATCGTTTGGGCTAGAAAAAAAACCGTTTAGGCTGAAGCCATTAGAGAAAAGTCTACCCCAACGGTTGCCTAAATGGTTACAACAGTTTGGGTAAAATCCCAAACGGTTATAACCGTTTAGGATTTTGCCCAAATGGTTGTAACCGTTTGGGATTTAATAAATTGCCAAACGGTTTCAACCGTTTAGGTTGATATCAGTCCAAATAGTTTACAACCGTTTAGGCTGATATCTGTCCAAACGGTTACAACCGTACCTTTTTATTGTAAATTTTTTTTAATTTTTGCTGTTTTATTTATTTTTAACTACTTGCTTACAATAAATATACACATCTCACATTGATTACTCAATTCACAATGAAATTAAAACATATGCATACACAAAAATGTCTCGAATTTTGCTAAATATCCAATATTATATATACATACACAATGAGTACTCAATATATAATATTAGAGACAAAACATATACATACACAATGATTACTCAATATCTCACAATGAAAAGCATCCAATATTATGTATTTGTCTCTAATATTCAAAATGTCTCAAACGTCCAAAATAAGATAGGAGTGGCTTGATCCATCCAGTCAAGGAACAGAAGAAATTCCTCGAAGAATGTCCTGTAACAAACCCGAACGCCTCAAGTCTGCAAATATCCTAGCAAGATTCTCCTGTGATAAACCCTGAGCACTGGAAGTAGACATCATAAGCAGAACACTAAAGGAATTAGAGCAGGACGAGATAAAGAATGATAAATAATATAATTTAAAAATGATATATATACAAACTGCTACCTCTATCGCCCTGTCGCTCCGCATGTCTCAAAGCACGATTAAGACGAAGATTACAAGAGTGTTTTGGAACACATGCGGTGCAGATGTAGATGCAACTAGACAATAAAAATGATTTATGTAAGTACAAATATTCCAAGATGATAGTAGATATACATATTACATAAATAGAAAATTTCATAAACAGCGAAGATAATGTGACTCAAAACAGCAAGAACAAATTTTGAAAGTTATTCTAGAGTAGGTAATATTTCTTTTTCATTACACTCAATTCATCAAATCTCAAACAAAATGGTAGAAAACATAACTCTTCTTTTACATAGAACAGAATTCCTCTTAACAAACTGGCCCAATAGAAGAAATGTATATTCAGAGATGAAATGGCTGCAATTATGCAAGGCTCCAGGCAAAGTCCAAATAATTGGAAAGAAATGTATATTCAGAGATGAAATGGCTGCAATTATGCAAGGCTCCAGGCAAAGTCCAAATAATTGGATTTTATGATATATTCATGAACCTTTATACTTTAAAAAAAAAAGGCATGCACTTACTTTCATCTCCCAGAAATTGAATTTCCATCCTGGGGTCCTCTGTTCTGACTCATCACGTTTGACCTTGATTCCAGCAGTTTTCAGTAATTTTTCAACAGAAATAGCAGCATTAAGGACTCCTGTTCTCTCATCAGCTTTCTTCCAAATGGGAACAATTATCACCTGAATATATTCAATTAGGAGCAAAAGAATATCTGATACAATTTATAATTATAAAATAAAAAAAGGAAACATTAGCTAGCAAGCAAGTACAAGAAACAAACAATAGAAATCAGCAGAGCATGAAGTAAGATGTCGAGAAAAAGGTGACTTGCCTACGAGGCTTGTTCTGATGTTGCTCAAATTCATCATTTACTATCTCTGCAACAATGACGAGGAACTTCTTAGATCAGAATAAATTGAAATTGACACAAGCGCATTTGAATAGAAAATGAGTGATGAACTGATCTCTCAAATGCAGATGACATATAAGCAACGTTTACCAGGCCTTTGTTGAGGCTTTAAAGCGTTAGCAGGCTTCGGTGAACTAGTGTCTTTGCTGCAAAAATGACATAGAAGGGAACATGTATGAATTGCATATCCATTCACAAGTGCGAAAAAAAGCTTGATAATGCATAGAACACGATCTATAAGAAGTACTATCATTGCTTTCTATCTCGTCTTCTATCATCATAAGATCAAAGCAAATCAGCATTAGTAAAGTTATCTCTAGTCATATCCTTGAAGACCTCTCCAGAGAAAATAAAAAACTTTGTTTTAGAGCTACGTTTTCAATAAATTTCATGCACTAGTAAGTTCAAATTCCATCTGGATGTAATGATAAAATAATGAAGCAGATATAGAATTATATCTCATTGAAAAGCGATATGGTGAAATCATTTGATCCTAAAATATATCAAATAAATCCATATTTCATTATACATGCTGGGAAAAGATAATTGCACCATACAACCATTGCAATTCAATGTTTTGCTCTAATTAGTTGGGATATGCACTTATAACTATTTTTGCCAGTCTTTTTACTAAAAGTAATATGCATAATCAGAAAGAATTTTCATATTTTATAATATCCTCATCCAAGTTTTTTTTTCTTTACTTCACCAGCTTAACTGTTATCTCTTAACACTTTAACATAAATGAAAATACCAACTCATCCAAGTATCTATGAAAAAAGACATAGCTTCCACATGCAGAAGGCTTCCAGGAATATCAAAATGCATGTGGAAGTTTTTCAACACAACTAAAGCTGGAAGTGATATGAAGCAGGCTCAAGAAACAAGCTGAGTTAGCTTAGTTAATAAAAGTGATGGATGCTGAATTCTTTATACATCCGCAACAAGTTATGCTGAGTTAGCAGATGTAGATGCGGCTATACAATAAAATTGATTTATGTAAGTACAAATATTTCATGATAAGATAAGCAATTTATAATATATTTTGAGCTTATTAGGTATAGTATAAAACTTCCTATTGTATGTCAGAGATGAAAAAGAAAACAACAGCATGTCTGCTGATGTGAATTTGGAGCAAATGAAAGACGTATGTAGCTGGCAATTGCCCAAATAGTTTAAGACCTACTAAAAAGATATTGGAAATTTAAAACAAAATAAAAAATTGGGAATTCATAATACATATTCACAAGAGATCTTAGACAGATGGCATGTAAATTTGGTCAGGGTCAGGTTAAAAGCTTCCCTAATAGAGGGATAATAGAGCTGGTTTCACTAACCTGAGATTGTTGTCTTGGAATAAAGAACATTACAGTGGGTATAGTCAAAGACTCAAAGAACACAATCATCAAAAGCCCATTCTACGAGAAAAAGAGAGATACTAACAGCGATTGTGAGCCAGAGATCAAGCGGAGCTTGCTCGGCTTTGAGGATGTAGAGGATGTCGTTGGCGTCCCTCGGCAATTGGTCGAGGACAACCCTCACCTCCTTCAAGCCCTACGTCAACGCGTCGACACTGTCGAAGGAGGCCAACGTGGAGGCGGCGGTGGGGCTTGCTCGGCTTTGAGGATGTCGAGGATGTCGTTGGCGTCCCTCGGCAATTGGTCGAGGACAACCTTCACCTCCTTCAAGCCCTAGGTCAACGCGTCGACGGTGTCGAAGGAGGCCAACGTGGAGGCGATGGCGGGAGCAGAGGAGGAGGAAGAAGATGCCGAGGGATTTGAGAGATTGGGGTTAGGGGCGCGGGGATTTTAGAATTTGGGCGACGGAAGAGAATATGTTTTATTAAAAAAAATAACTAAATCAAAATCACCCAAACGGTTTAGACAGTTTGGATTAAACATCCCAAACCGGTTTCAACCGTCTGGGAGATGCGTTTGGAATCTCCTACCAGCCCAAACGGTTTCCACTGTTTGGGTTTCGTTATCCCAAACAGTTTTAACCGTTTAGGTTGTTTTTACTTGCCCAAACGGTTATTAGAACCGTTTGGGCTGTTCTGTTTTGTACTAGTGATCACCAAGATCTAGCTAGCCTCTTCTGAAATTCGTGGGGGTTGACTCACAAAACCAGCAACACCTCGCCCTCTTGATTAAAATTCGCCACCTATGAATGAAAGCCCTAGGCTACTATTTATAGGGCTTCGGATGCAGGGTATTTGGATAAGAACCAGCGATTCGGCCTTATCTTCAGTTAATAACGGCCTAACCATGTTTATGGATGATATCAAATCAGTTGAGAAGCTTTGGAACAAAGAAATCTCGCAAACTTATCCAAAAACAAGTCGTCGGACACCGTCGTGCGCGGCAAGCCACTGTAACCCGCGCCTGTGCGGGTCACTAAGTGGCGACCCGTGCCTATGTGGCTCACCAAGTGGTGACCCGTAGGAATGCGGGTCACCTCGTGGTTACCCGTACGTGTGCGGGTCAGTTCGGGACTTGGCCATTTTTTGGCCTTCCGGACTTGTATTTTTCGTCATTTCGCGTATCTTATCGTTTTCCAACATTTTGAACAATTCGACGTTGTTTTCTACATGATCTTCAAACTGCACATGGTCTCTATGTTAAGGAGAGTTCAGACTGGCTGTTGCAGGAATTTCATGTCATGGATTATCTCACTCGCTGTGTTGGCTCTGGTCTCACTGTCGAGATTGGCTCGCTTCCCTCTGCTCGGACCATATAATCTATGATTCAAGTAAATATCATAAACCACTCCCAGATTCAAAATAATACAATTATTCGTATACTAAACTAACTTCAAACTTCTGCTTAAATCCACAGATTCTCACTAGCTTGGTGGGCATATACATTTCCAATGATAGGAGCAGCCATTGCAACGATCAGATACTCAGCTGAAGTCAATAACTGGCTCACTGAATCCTTATCTGTCGCTTTATCTGCAATATCTACACTTACAGTCTCTGTTCTATTAGTGTCAACAATTATTCATGCATTTGTGCTTCGTGATCTACGTAAAGAGAAGCAAACGTCGTCTGTTTCTTAAAAGGTGGATTGTCCAATTCTAATTTTTTTCGGTCTAGAATCCATATAGATTCCTAGCGTGTATACTTGCATAAAGCAGCCTCAACTTGACTAATCGTGTCACATGAGAGGTTCTCTATCAAGAGTATCCAGTAGTTCAGAGAGTGCAACGCCTAATGGGAAATAATGAAGCCTACAGAATAATAAAGCTAAGTCATAAACTCTAGAAGCATAGTACATCTGTTCATGTGTGTGGGCCCTCAAGAAACTGAAGACCAGCCGGGCGCGAGAGAGGGATAAAGACACCGCCACAGAGCGCAACAATGCAGCACAAACAAGCGAACCAGTTTGTAGACAGTGGTGTGGCCCGAATCGGCGGCTAGTCGCACGGCGGGCAAGGGGGGGGGGGGGGGGGTTCACTATTAGAAATCAAGAGGAACAAACTAGGGTTACAAATATCTCATAAACCCTTAACAAATCAACTCCCAATCTCTCCAATTGCTCCTAGAATAGAAGCCCAAAGAAAACCCTCTCTCTTCAGCTCAAAACCTTGTTTGCTCAAACCCTAAAAACACCCTTTGGGTATTTATACAACTCCAAAACGAAACGGGTCTGGAAACAGAACTCAGCCCAAAACCCGCATCGCGGTCGACCGCGATAAGTCGACGAGGCTCACCAAAGTCTCTGGAAAAACCGCGGTCGACCGCCGCGCCACGCGCAGTCGACCGCGACGAATCCTTCTCCTAATCAGCGCCAGTCGCGGTCGACTGCCGCGCCACGCGCGGTCGACCGCCAAACATCCAAAGGCATTCCCAGATCTCGTGCACGATCACGGTCGACAGTCGCGCCACCCGCGGTCGACCGCACAGCTCCCAAAAGCTCTCCTTCGACTCTTCGCCAATACGCTCGCCAAAACAACAATCTCCACCTTGAATCTACAATTCTCCACCTCGGCGAACGTTTTCCCAAAACTGAGCCGACACCGACCACACCAAATGCCTCACTTGTTACGTCCAGTACGCCATGGCAACAGACTCATGACAACGGAATCCATCCACAACAAGTCGAGACCCAAACGGGAGTGTGAACACTTACCCAAACCAACAGTGTCTACTCACCAAATCGGCTGCATCAAAACTGAATGCCTACGTATCCTCTTGCCCGAGGAATCAAGCATTCACGTAGTTCACCTAATGGCCTCCAAAGGCCCTCAATCCAAAAGAAGAGTTCTCAACTGTCCACCAATACCAACATCCAATGTACGACTGATAGCATCACCAACAGCCTAAATCCGACATGATCCAAACACCTCCACCTGAGGTGAACCAATGGTCGTATCCAAGCTATATCCACCAACTGCACTCGGATCTACCAACACATCATCCGCAGCCAAATCCAAATGACTCCCATGCTGTGCCACCTCAGCTGGAATCCCAACCAATGCAGAATTAACCTGGAGTATGTGGGGAAATCCCCACCCAATATGGAGTAGCATCACCCTCCACCCGCTGTGATATCCCACTGATCTGATCAATACTCTCTACCTACTGAGAGTCCAAAGTGACAAACCTGCTCAGACCAAACTCAGAACCTCCCAACTGATAGCCGAAAGGGCTTTTGAATCGCAAATGCGCAATCAGATCCAATCTCACATCTACGATGTGACAAAGTGCTGGAAAGCCCAATATCCGACGCCAACCAAAATCTGAAGCAGCTCCACCAGATCTAACAACTCTATACGCAGCAGTCGGTAACCTCATAAGATGGCCTAAACATGTCAAAGCCTGAATACCAAATCCACTGCTCGACAACCAACGCCGATCCTCCTCCAGAAAAAAACGGCCCACTAAATCCGCCATCTCGTCACGTCGCCACATTGTCTCCTCTCCTACGAAGTGTCTCCAACTGTCGTGAGCTTGGCACAAATGCAAGAAATGATCCTTACTAGAACTAGTACGATAGATAACCTTTCTGCCCATACACCTCCTCCAACTGTTACGGACTACTAGGGCTTCATACCAACGGGACTTGGTTGCAACCCATAAATACCTAGTACAATCCCCAACATAGGAAACAAAATACTTCATACCAACGGGACTTGGTTGCAACCCATAAATACCTAGTACAATCCCCAACATAGGAAACAAAATACCGATTACCTCCTAATGATACATCAATAGAAGACCCCCTGAATGCCTGACTGAACACCTCCAATAAGACCACTCGATCGATGGATAGAAGTGCTAAACTCCACCTCGGTCTTCTCGCTCATCCCAATGTGCTCAAAGGACTTCAATCTACAGGTCATAGCACTCTTCATCAACCTATGCACGACATAACCAATAATATACCACAGCACCAAATAATGTCACAGTCTAGCCAAAGAAGTCGTCAACACTTTTATCAATCACCGTGCTCCCAAACAGATAATACAAGTTACTCCTCCTGACACCCTTCATCACAATCATGGACCCCAATGTGACCTTCAAGCGAGAATCCACCAAGGTCACCCTATAGCGTGCTGCCTCCAATACCCCAAGTGAAATGATGTTCTTCCTCAGTTGAGGAACGAATCTCATATCAACCAACTCCCGAATCATCCCATCACTCGTCTGAATTTGAATGGTACTATTACCATCAATAGGGCATCTGTGATCATTACCCATAAGAATAGCATCCCCTCTTTTCAACTCCTGAAAGCTGGAGAACCAATCCCTCCTAGGGCATATGTGGTAAGTAGCACCTGAATCCAACTTCCACTCGGTGGAGTTGGCAACACCAACTAACGAAAGAGCTGAGCACGAATAGCCCGAAGAATCTGAATCTGAAATATCACCACCAGTTTTGACAATATTCTCCTCTGAAGCTTGAATAGCTTTCCCTTTATTCTTCCCGGCTTGTAATTTTGGTCATTCGGCTTTCCAATGTCCATCCTCTCTACAAAAGACACACTGATTCCTACCCATTGCAGGATGCCCCCTCTAGACTGCGACCTCCTACCACGGTTTGGACTTCTAGCTCTTGCAACCAATGCCCCTGCTACCGGCTCAATGGAAGTCTCATTGTCCTTCTTACAAAGTTAATAATTCACAAGAGCCGCGGTGACCTTACTATATGAAAGAGATGTCTTCCCATTAATAAGAGTGAGGACGAATGTCTCATATTCCTCGTCGGGTAAGGAACTCAACAATAACAACGCCTTGTCCTCATCTTCAATAATGACATCTACATTCGTTAAATCTACAAGTAGCTTCGTGTAGTGGTTCATGTGATCACTAATGGATGTCCCCTTATTCAATTGGAAGCGATAAAACATTCTCTTCAAATGCAAGTAATTTTTGCCCTCTAGGACTTCCCAAATCTTCTTTACATAAGTCTCATTCATCACATCATACTTTAAATCTTGAGTCAAACAAGACCTAATCACACCACACGCCGTTCTATTCATTTTCTTCTAAACCTTCTCATCAATATCGTCCGGTTTCCCGTCCAACTCTAACGTATCTTCCAAATTTTGCGCATTTAGCGCATCCAAGACTTCGCATCGCCAAAGTCCAAAATTATTTGTGCCATCGAACTTCTCCACATCTATCTTCATAGAATGGATACTCAAACTTTGGACAGTCTTCACACTAAAAGTACCCAATAACAATTGGGGAATAAACAATAAATAGATCTAACTTGAACAAAGATAGAATTTTTACCACAAAGATTCAACCTTTATCACCAACCGAAGCTCTAGATGAACTTCCCAACTGATCTACTCTTCCAAAAAACCCAAGCGTTGCC